ATTAGCTTTTATTATGGTGGATGAAATTAGAAATACAAATAGATGTAACTGAGTTATGTCCTGCTGTTGTTTCAGTTTTGCATTCTGAGAAGCCACTCCAGGCAGTGTGTGCCTTCTGGCTCTACTGGCTGCCATCTTCAGGCCTTTCTGCCCTTTCCCAATTCCCTTCCCTTATGTTCCCAACTGCATCCAGCTTTGCTCTTCTGTGGTAGAATTTCCTTTTTCTACCTCCCCGGTTTACATCTCTTTCTTTTTCACAATACCATGCGGATGTCACCTTGCCAGCTGTACCTCCCTTATATTAGACTTAGAGCTACTCACTGCTTCACAGGAAACATTTACGTCGTTCACATGAATAGCTCTGGCATCTTCAAACTTAAAGAGACCCAAAATATTTACACGTTTACAAATCTTAAGTTAGAGTCTGGCTATCAAAGGATCATGGTACATTTCCTAAAAGAGGTCTGACAATAGAGTGGAGTGAAATCTCAGCCGTCCAGCCTCCCTCTTTAGTAGCAGCTTCTTTTGGGGATTGAATTCCATCAAATCCCCATGTATCACTTTGTCTGCAGACAGAATCTATTGAAACAGGACTTTTTCCTAGTGAGTGTTATAAGGTGATTCTCTCATGGGAACACAGATATGAATCACATGGGCATTATGATAAAACTTGATTTTTCTGAGCCAGTAGGTCTGGGTGGGGGGCTGACAGTTTACTTTTCCAACAAGCTCCCAAAGGATGCTGATGCTGCTGGTTCAGGGAAAGTCCGACATCAGGAACTTCTTAGTAGGTTTGGTGCTTGACCCAATCAGTGCCTCATCAGCAAAGCCCTCCCTGCACTGAGCTGAATTTTCAAATCAACTCTCAACCAATTCCCAAATTAACACGAGGCCATGGACCTCCAATACTGATGTTGGCTCTCAAATCATACTTTAAAGCTTTGTTTCTTACTTTGCCAATCAATCTACTTTTTGGCTGATTGTTAACTTTTCAATATACACATCATATACTTCTACTTAGGACCTCTAATAATCCATTTTCCTTCCTTTGAAAATTATTTATTCATTTTTATTTTATGTGTTTATTTTATGAGTGTTCTGCCTGTATGTAAGTGTACCATAAGTGTACAATGCCTTCAGAGGCCAGAAGAGGGTGTTGGATTCCCTAGAACTGGAGTTACAGACAGGTCAAACAGGTGCTAGCCACCATGTGGTGCCAGGTCTTTTAATCACTAAGCCATCTCTCCAGCCCCACCATCTTTCCTTTTTTTTGGGAAACGAGATTTACTATATAGTCCTGGCTGGCCTGGAATACATTATGTGGACCAGGTTGGCCACAAACCACACCTGGCTAATAATTCATCTTGAACCATTTGTAATGGCAGTTACTTTTTCTCAAATTTCATTTTTTTAATTTTATTTTTGTGTATGTGTATGTGTGCCATGGCATGTATGTGAAGGTCATAGGACAACGTGGGAGAATCAGTTTTTCCTTCTACCATGTGGGTCCTGGGAATAGATCTCAGGTTGTCAGACTAGTCAGCAAGTGTCTTTATCCACTGAGCAATCTTGCCGGAAAAACACAATACCATGCGTTAAAAGAAAGAAACTTTTATTTTTATTAATCTATGTTTAGATCTGCATTAATTTCATTTTACAAGACTTTACTTTTGGGGGCTGGAGAGATGGCTCAGCGGTTAAGAGCACTGACTGCTCTTGCAGAAGACCCAAGTTTGATTCCCAGCACCCACATGGCAACTAACAACTGTCTGTAACTACAGTTCCAGGGGATCCAACACCCTCTGCTGACCTCCACTGGCATTGCATGACACAGGTGCACTCACCTACATGCAGGCAATACACTCGTATACATAAAATAAAAATGATAAAATATTTTTTAAAACCTTTACTAATTTTTAATATATAATTAGCACTTTAAAATTTTCACTGTTTTTGGATTCATTAGGCCTGATTAAGAGAAATAACATAGAAATAAAGTATGAACATGCTAATAATCAGTGTGTCATTCAAGACAGAAATGTCTAGGCAGAAACTGTGCAGCCAGTTTTTTAATAAATTGCAAAATTTTTTTGTGTGTGGTTTGGTATTATGTTAGAATTCATAAACCTTAGTAAATTAAAAGCTTATAGTTAGAGAGGTTTATTAAATGGGATTAAGTAAAAATAGATTTAATGGCTTCCAGTATCTGTGCTGACTAGATAGTATATCACCTGTCTCCAGAGACCATCATATGATCACTTTGCAGCAAGTGCTACTTCTGAGTAGTAAAGGGCTCAAAGAAGCAGCATCCCTCACTCTTAAGTGAACCAACTAGTTACTAGTTAGTTACTTTTCTCCTTGCTGTGACTAAATGCCTGAGGAAGTGATTTAAGGAAAGAAGGGTTTATTGGTCTCTCAGTCGCAGAGGACACAGTCCACCATGGTGAGGAAGGCACAGAATTCATGGAAGGAGTGTGCAGCCAAGACTCCTCACATCCATGGATCAGGAAGCACAGAGCGGTGACAGGAAGTGAGACCAGGGATATAAAGCCTAAGCTCCTTTCCACAATGATCCACTTCCTAGAGGTTCCACAACCTCTTAAAGCAGAGCTGTAGGCTGGCAACTGCAAGAAATAAAAAAGATAATGGTCCATTTTCAAAAGTGCCTTGAGGTCCAACTACAAATGAACAGAAAACACTAGACCCCTGCTAAGGCCTGCCAGTCTAGCTATCCCCTCCAACCCAAACTAAAGTTTACAGTAGAAAATTGCTGGAAGCCAAGCTTGACTAATGGCCTACAGGCATGACAAGATACGCCTTCAAATAAACAGAATGTAAAACGTAGAGATGGTCTTTGTTGAAAAGCAGCAAGTGGCAGAGGACACTTGCAAGGCCTAGATGATGTGTAAGACTGACCCTCCTGATTACTCAATGAGGAAAGGAAGGAAGGGGCCTGCATCAGGGTTAAAAAACAAAACAAAACAAAAAACATTCACTGTGCTCAATCACCCATCATTCTGGCCTGATGCCCATCTTTGTAAAGGTGTAAAATAAAGTACGTTGTTTTCTCTACTTTGAGTCTCCAGCACTTTTATTACGAAGTAAGTGTATTTCTCATGCATCCAAGTATTCAAGCATATGAACTGTATTAGCCACTTTTCTATTGCTGTGATAGAAACACTGACCCAAGCAATTTATAGAATAGAGAGAGAGTCTATGTGAACTTATGGTTCCAGGGGAATTACAGTCCATCATGGCAGGGAGGCCTGGTGGCTGGAGGTGGCTGGAGCAGGCACAGCAGAAGCTAAGCTCTCACATCATCACGCAGGCACAGGAAGCAAGAGAGCAACTGGAGCTCTGGCAAGGCTTAAGAACTCTTTAAGCCCACCCCCAGTGAAGTGCTTCCTCCAGAATAGCCACACCTTTTAAAACCTCCCAAAACAGCACCATCATGTTGGGACAAAACGTCCAAACTCTTGAAGCCTATGGGGGACATTTTCATTCAAATCACTACATGAACCTACAGGGAACAATTTATATCCAAACCCTAATAGGGGGCTAGCTCCTTATTGTAATGTTTGATCCAGGCTAATGAAGCACGTCTAATCCTCATAGGCAGGCAGAGCCCCTGAAGACAAACCTCAGATGAAGCCTTGTCACCTAGGCATGAAAAAAAAGCATGTCACTGAGCTGGATCGCTTCAGTTGTCAACTTGATACACCCAGGGAAAAGGAGCATCAACTGAGGAATCGTCTCCATTGGGTTGGCCTGTGGGGCATTTTCTTGATTGAGTGGTGTGGGAGGGCCCAGGCCCAGCCCACTGTGGGCAGTGCCTTTCCTGGGCAGGTGGGCCTGTGTGGTAGACAGCAGGGCAGGTGAGCAAACCAGTAAGCAGTGTTCCTTCAGGGTCTGTGGTTCAGCTCCTGCCTCCAGGTTCCTGCCCTGAGTTCCCTTAGTGATGAACCTGGGAGATAAAAGATAAACCTTTTCCTCCTCAAGTTGGTTTTGATCAACTTTTTTTAAACAAAGCAATAGAAAAACCAGGACAGAAGCCAGGCATGGTGACACATGCTGCACTCCTAGCTCAGTCATCATCACTGTCCTCCATAGGAGAAAGATTGGGAGTGTTTTATCATTAGAGGGGCCTTTTCCTCATGGAAGATAAAGATAAGGTCTGGGAACATAGCTTGGTGGTAGAAGTGCTTGCTTAGCATGCCACGAGACTTGTTGAATTTGTGATGCCTCGTGGATACACATCCAAACAACTGAAGAGATGGAAAGAGCAGGGCTGAAAATAGAGAAGTGGATGATAGAAATTACCACAGGCTAAGAACAACCTGGGGAGAGAGTACAGGCAGAGCAGGAGGCTGTGGATGAAGTTTTGGAAGCAGCTATTGAAACAGAAGCAACGAAGGGAAGAATGCGTTGAACTACACTAAGAGCAACCTGAAAGGGTGAAGACAGTTAAGTAACAAGGCGGGGGAGGGGAGGTGCAGCTCAGGGGTAGAGGCCCAGTCTAAATGACACCCTGGATTCCACTGCAGCATTGGGGAAAAAAGGGGGAGGTGCGAGGGGGACAGATGTGATGGGGTAGGTTAAAGCTGAGGGTATTGAGACAGGTGATTACCATTTTATCAACGAAAAAGGCAGAGCTTAGGGTAGTTGACTCTCTCCAAGTTTAAGCCCCAAGTCCTTGACCCCAGACTTCTGTTACAAGGAGGAGCAGCGACGCAAGAGATTCCCTATCTCTTCCAAACCATAAAATCCAATAGCGGGGCAGCAACTCAAACCATCTCTCCATAACCCTTCCACTGCAAGGAGTAGCAGTGGACAGAGGAGGCCTGCAGCTAGATTGAACAGAACCCGCCACTTGGCGCGTTCTCCGCAGTGAGGGGCGGGGCTACAAGGCCCGCCCCCTTCTGCGCAGCCCAAGCCTGCGCGCCCCACTACGGCTGCGCGGGCCTCGAGGGCCCAGGTGGGCGGGGCCACGGGAACCCGGAAGGCACCGGGGGCTCCGGCTTGCTGCAGGGAGGGCATCGGGGGCGGGGTTGGCCGTCGGGAGCCGCAGGGGTGGCAGGGGCGGCAGAGGCGGAGGCCGCGGGGCGCGAAGCCTGCGGGCAGAGACGCGGCGGAGATGCTGGAGACCCTGCGGGAGCGGCTGCTGAGCGTGCAGCAGGATTTCACCTCCGGGTGGGTACGCGGTGGGCGGCCGAAAGGGCCCGAGGGCGGCGGGTGGCAGGACACACTCGGCACCTCCGAGTCACGCGGGCGAAACGGACCAAGTTTCCGGCGTCCCGCGGGTCGCACGGAGGAACTTGAGTCCCAGCGAACCCGCTCCGACCGGCGCCGGCGTCAGCGGAATACGCGGGACCGTCTTGCCCAGCGGTGGGGCGATTCGGCCTTCCCGGCCCCGCGAGACCCCCAGGCCCGAGGCCCGCCGCGTCGGTGTCCCGCTTCTGCCCTGACGCCCGGTTTGCCGAAGCTAGCCCGCCTCTTCTGCCTCTGCCCGGGGTTTGCACTGGGCAGGAGGAACGACAGAACTGGAGTGTACATCTGGTATCCAGAGTTTCCCAAACTTTGGACGTGCCTGGGAACCTTTCACAATCTCCCTGTTCAGGTCTCGTGGAGTTTGAATGGAGCCGGAACGTCGTGGCTGGGGGGTCGTTCAAGGATCCTCAGGTGATGCAAATGTGCAGCACAAGCTGGGAACTTGACTGGGTGCCAGGTAGTCAACTCAGGCTTTACCTCGTTACCCTACTGTGCGTTACCCAATCTCTTGTACAATGATAACGCTGAGAGTATTGGTGACTATTGAACCGGGAGTAAGCACGGTCTGTATGGCTGTGAGTTTAATTCATTTAAAGTTTTTCATTACTTTACAAAAGTGTCACTTTTAATAAAGGCTCTGCCATCTTTTTAGGGTTTTGGTTGTTGAGACTGTTTCACACTGTAGCTCAGGCTTGCCCTGAACTCGTGACTGCACTCCCATTTCAGGCTCCTGAGTGTTTGGGATTAGAGGTGTGCTCCTCCTTTGATGTGTCACTTTTTTTTTTTTTTTTTTTTTTTTTTTTTTTTTTGAGAATGTTTCTACTGTGAGAGCACCTCAGTCATACCGTTTTAAATACTTAATGGGGAAAAAACGTTACCAGAACTCTTAAGGAATAAAAATGTCATACCTGTCCAGCCTTGGAAGACAAAAGAAAAGTGAGGAGGAACCCAATAGAGGGATGCTTTTGGAAGCCCTTGTCAAGAATTTCCAATGGACTCTAATGAACATTTGAAAATTGCCCTGTTCTGACTTTTTTCTAGTTCTCTGTCTAGAACTTGTAATGCTAATTACTCTTGCCTTTACTTCTTCACATCTATTCAGGATTCAAGGACTTTCTTTTCTCCCTAGAGAGAAGTTATGCAATTTGGGAGTCTTTTAGATAGACACACTGAAGGGGTACTGCAATTTGCCTCAGCCTGAATCCCTGTTCAGCATGGAAGAAGCCAGAGTGGTCTGTGTTCCCTATTGGCAGTTTGGGTAACCTCTTCGGAGGATGGTGTGATAAGAACAGGAGGGTAGGAATTGGCTAGGCAGTTAGGATAAAAAGACCCCAAGGAAAAGTAGCCAGTTTCTTGGCTACAACTCACAATGTTCTTGGGCCTCTTAGCAGCATATCCATTCCAAAGGCCAAAAATGTCAAAAATATTTGGGAGCGTTTATCTAATTCTTAAAAGATTTTAGGGCTACCACTTCAGAGGGGGGAATGTTAGAGTGGTCAAAAGCCCCGTTAAAAAAAGAGTACATGAAGTTGTCAGAAAAAAGTGATGGGAAGGTAGGAGGGGAGTTGGAGGGGAGGGAGTGGGCATGGATTTGATCAAAACACCTTATAAGCAATGTATGAAATTCTCAGTGAATTTTTTAAAAAAAATGTTTATACCTATTGACTAGTATCAAACTGGCAAATAGTTGAACATCTACCACTTAAAGTAATAGTGATGATTTTAGCTTCTTACTCTTGATACTAATTATGGTTGCTTAGGAATCATTCAGTGATGGGTGTTACCCCCTGCTCTTTTTTTTTTTTTCTTCACTCCACAAATCTAGGAAAAGTAATTTCCCTTTCAGAGTGTAAATTTTAAAATCTCATGACAACTGCTGAGTGCTTGATCCCTTGGTGAGTTGTTGAAAGTGTCACATGGTTGTCTCAGAGCCTATTCTGACCTTTGCTTAAGTCTTCATCCTTAGGAATGTGGAGTCAACCTCACACAGTATCTTCCAAGAGATCTGGATAGCTGACAGACCACTGTCCTCTATTAGCCTGTTACCTGACAGAATAAGTAACACTCTCCAAATCATGTCTGCCAGTTAAAAGGCAGCTCTAACCTCTGCTACTCACTTTGTTCAACAATTTTTATTGGGGTAACAGCACAAAAAGTAAACTTCAGAAGCCAGCTTGAGAGCCACCTATTTACATGTGCAACTGTTCTTGCCTTGCTAAGAAATTAAACACAATACACATGTCTATTGTAATAGACATGGAAGGATTCAATTGAGACATGGTAGTCACCTCCCAAGACTGTCAAGCTGGTGTTCCTGTAGGACCCTTGGTAGGTAGAACAAGTGGCTGGTGGACAGCTGCCTTCCAAAACAGTTTTCAGTGTCCAGTGTTAAGTTGCAGCTGATAGGTTTTCTGAGCTCCTTCAGATGGCTAGAGTTGCTCCCACAGCCATCAAGAGCAGCTTCCTTTCAGATTTTCTGCTCATTCAGTTTCTGTAAATTCATGTGGCTGGAGCCTGTCTAGGCAACCCCCCCTCCCCCCTTCCCATAAGAGAATGATGCATTTGTGGTTAAAGGTCCGTCAAGCTGGATGACTATTCACAGTCTGTTCAGATTTAGGGGAAAAATGCAGTGTGCATTCCTGAGATTTATAGGACAGGATAGAGATTACTGATGGTCTGGAGGAACCCAGATTGTTCTTAGACTTGTGCCGTTTTTCCTGTTTAGCCGTACTGGGGATGGAACCCAGGGCCTCATAATTGCTAGGCAAGTGCTTTACTACTGAGCAACATCCTCAGCCCCTTGTGGACTTTTTCATAAACTTATCCATAGTAACTAGTCTACAACAAAACAAACCTAGGACTCTGATTATGTTGAGTTCTTTCTCCCTAAGTTGGGTAGTGGCCAGCCCCAAAGCCTCAGAACTGGAGGGCATTGGTTCTGGGTCCCACTTAGTGATTCCTCCCCTTATTGAGCCCTGTTTTCATTTGATTCAGAGTTCTTGGAGCCTTTTGAGGGGATTCCCATAAAATATGTTTGTTGTTTTTTAAAGGCAGTGGTCTGAGCTTTAGGAGAAACTGTTGGAAGCATATAGTTTGCATCCAACCCACTAGGTTGTGTTTTGTTTTGAAACCTTTTGAGCTGTTATGACCAAAGGCTTAGGTATTCAGACATGTAAATAAAGCCTTTCAGGGAACTGAAAGATTTGCTGAGATCTCAGGCTTGTGTTTTCTGTTTGTAATGCTCTCAAAGCCATCATTGCCCCCAACTTCTGTTCTTGCCCAGTAACCTCATTCTTCCCTCCTCTTCTACAACTTTTAAATTGTGCAAATGTGGTAAATAGGTGAAGCTTTGCCTGAGATACTGACTTGTAGGACTTCTGTATTTTCTTATTTTTTAGGTGCTTGAAATGGAACTCAGACCCTCATTCTAGGCAAGTGTTCTATCACTGCTACTCCACCAGCTTATCTGTCTTACTCTCTTCTTTCCTGCATGTCCTCCTCCCTTCATTCCTCCTCTCTCTCTCTCCACTTAGTTTTTGAGACTGGGTCTCTCACTGTGCCTGTAGCTCACTGATTGGCTAGACTTGTCCAACGAAGCCCCAAAGATCAGCTTGTCTCTACCTCCCAGTGCTGTGGTTACTGGTGTGCTTTGCCAATGCTAGCTCTTTACAGGAGTGCTAAAGAAGTGAACTCAGGTCCTCACGCTTGTGTAGCAAGCACTTTGCCCACTGAGCCATCTCTGAAGCCCTGATATTTTTTTTAATGAGGAGGACAGAACACCTCAAGGTTGAGCCTGACTTGATAGATTTGCCAGGTTCCCACTAAATGTCAGACACTGTATATTCAAAGTGCCCTTTTTCTGTTTTGCATGGTATGTACTAAGCAGTGTTTGTGTGTTGGGCTAGGTCTTGGTGCTACCAAGCTGACAGAAACAGTTTCTGCCCTTGAATACCCTCAGCCGGTGGTAGTGCAGCCCAAAGCAGAATGAACTAATGTTGAAGACAGCAGTGGTGTGATATGAGCTCAGAGGAAAAGTCCCTGATTTGGATGCAGTCACAGATGGCTTCTAAACTGCGCCATGAAGAATAAGGAGGGATTGTGATGGATTTGAGTAAAGTACTGCTGAAATGGAAGCAGAGGAGATGCAGCTGGAAGGGAAGTTCAGGGCCTGGGAACAGAATCTTACATGCTTTCCTTAATCTGTCAGATGTTCATTAGGTGCTTTGTGTCAGGGACTGTAGGCTGTAGCAGATGCCTAGACAACGAGTGAGGACCCTGCTCATTCTAGTGGCAGAAGGTAGACCAAGTACAAGGTCATAAGTACTGTGGCTAACTTGTTAAGGGAGAGGGCTACATGGATTTCTGGAAGAGTAACTTGGGACTAGGGATGGGAGCTGGAGGTGTGGGCCAGCTGGAAGATGGCAAGTACTGGCAGAAATCCCGAAGAGGAAAGGGTGCGACTGGCAGTGGCTGTGAGTGGAACAAGGTGTAGAAATTGCTGAGTGTTGATGTTGTAGCATCTTAGATAAATGATGGCATAGTCCAGCATAAAGGAACAGAAAGCAGTCGACAGTGAACTTGTGAAATAGTGCTTGGCATTCAAGAAACAGTTGGAAGTTGAGGGTGCCCTCAGGAGAGGGTCAGAGCTGAAGTAGCATGTTGGAGATTAAGTCAGGCAAAGGAAAGGCATTTGGAAGGAGTCTCCCTTTTCTAAAGGGTCTGCAGCATTGCTGTGAATGTCTCAGGCTGTGGAGCCTCAGAGCTCAGTATACTTTTTGAGTGTGATGTTTTGCTTATCCTCTGATCTCACAATCATGGATGGGTGCAGCAAGGCTAGGCGTTCAAGTGAACTGATCAACACTTAAATAAAAACATAATAGACTGGATTTGGATTTGTAAACAGAATTTAAATGGTTCAAAGGAATTATGTCTTATGACAAAATAAGTTTCTGTGGTAGTTTAAAGCCCTCCTTCCCATTCCTAGTAGGAGAGATCGGGGGTGATGGGGGCACACAGATGAAATGCCATCCAGGTCACGGCATACAGTTCAGCCAGAGAGCAGATCTGCTTCTAGTGCTCTGCACATGATTCTGTTTATCCCCTTTTTAAAATTTCTAAGCAGTTTTGAGAATCACCTCCATTTCTTAGTCGGAAGCCTCCATTTTAGCATTTTCTTAAAAGCTTGAAGAAATAAATGTGCTAGTGTCAAATTAACATGTCTTTGGAGCCATCTAAAAATAAAATTTGAGGTTTAGTGCTTTGAACTTAAAAGTGTGTCATTAGTAGGAAATAATTGCCAGGTGGCTCACTTTGAGTCCATACATTAGTGAACAGACACAGCACTTGTGCCTTTCTGGGAGTGTGTGGTGTTGGAAAGAAGACTTGAGAATGGGGTGGGGAAAGCTTTCATAGGAACTGGAACATTCAGAACCTCTATTGTAATTCACCGTGGTCTGGGGTGTCTGTGAGTCTGTGTTCTGCTGTGTGTGTGTGTATATGTGTGTGTGCGTGTGTGTGCATTGAGGGGAGGGGCAGAGGTCCATGCCAGGTGTTTTCCCTGCGCTGTGTGTGCGTGTGTGTGTGTGTGTGTGTGTGTGTTGAGGGGAGGGGCAGAGGTCCATGCCAGGTGTTTTCCCTGCGCTATGTGTGTGTGCGTGTGTGTGTGTGTGTGTGTGTGTGTGTTGAGGGGAGGGGCAGAGGTCCATGCCAGGTGTTTTCCCTGATCACTTTCCACCTTATTTTTTGAGACAGGGACTCACTGAACCTGGAGCTCATCAATTCCACTTGTTTGGTTGGCCAGTGAGCTCCAGGGATCTGCTTGGCTTCCCCAGTGCTGGACACCCCCCCACCCCACTTTTGCATGGATCCTAAGAATTGGAACTCAGGTCCTCATGCTTGTATGACAGGGTGCTTTACTAACAGAGCCATCTCCTCAGCCCTTTCTTAATGGTGAAACTTTTTTTATTGTACATTTCATTTGAATTAACTGTAGTTTCTCAAAATGCCACCCAGATCATATTTGGAATTTTTTTTTAATTTTTGGCAAATACACATGAATGACTAATAGTATTTTGTGTTTGAGGAAACTGGGAGATTCACCTGGCTCAGTGTTTCCTTAGTGTTTTTGAGACAGTGTAAGATATGAAATAGAGCTTATTAAGTGTCCAACTCAGGATTTGTGTAAGAAATTTCAGCTATCTCTAAATAAAATGGTACATATCAGTGTTATTAGCAAAAACAATGAGTCTTTCTGTAAGAAACAGTATATTTTAAAATGAAATGGAGATCTTTTTTAAAGGTTAAAAACTCAATTTTATGTCTTACAGGGCTTATACTGAATTCAATATTGTATAACTATATTAATTCAACTGTGAACCTAGAAACTTGCACCCACTTGTGAAAGAGATGTACTCTTGCTCTGGAG